TATTTAATTAGTATATATAAATAATTGTATATATCAAAATTCATATACAATTAAAATTTTAAATTTTTTTTTTTATTTTTAAATAAATAGGCAAAAATAGATTTGGCCCAGTCCATGGCTCGACTTAGGCCAAGGCTTGGCCCATGGGCCAGCCCGGCCCACAACACGGCACAGCACAGCATGGGCCCACGTGGACCTTGGCTGTGGGTCGTGCCGAGCCAACCCCCAAAATTTTCAGCAAGGAAGGCGGCACGGCCTGTGATGGCCTGTGGGCCAGCATGGCATGACCTGCACTTTTCATAGGCTGCCTGCGGGCAATGCCATGCCGGCCCAGCACGGCCCACTTTATACCTCTATGTTCGTTGCCATTTGTCAAATTCGGCAGACTTCAACGACCCAGGCTTGGACTTATTGAACAATAAATTATAAACCAGGCCCAGGCCCAGGCCCCACTGCGCAAGCATTGTTTGTTCGCTTACACACCTTACCCACTTAAGGGCAACAACTCGGGCCGGTTTGACTCGGATTGATGCCAACGTAAGACCAACCAATTTTATTTAAACCCTAATCCTAACCCAACCAATTAATAACTCTATTTAAAATTTAGATTGCCAAGTGTGTCGTAAAACCATCAATAATCAGAAGAGTAAAGGCGAGATGTAGTTAAGACATATTTACATGCAGACAAAAGACAGGGTTCCTGTTGAGTACGTAGATCTCAACCCAATTTCTAGTAGACAAGTCAACTTCGGAGTTGGAAGTCGTCCTCTTTAAAGTTGAATCAACTTCCAAGTTGTAATAAATTGGATAATAAGACTCATCAGATGAGCTGAGTTGGCACGTGACAGGGGAAACTCAGCATAATTGTGTCAGCTTTACATTTTTGTATTAATATATTTTCTTGAAAATATTTATATGCTTTCTTTTAATTCTTAATTGCCCAGATATATCAATTCATGGGGTTATGAGACATTGAGACTTGTCTTTTATTTATTTAATTTATGGAATATTATTTAAAATTCACCATAGTTTTTCGCATTTCATTTAAACTCACTCTGTCAATGAGTTTTATTTTTTAAAAGTCGCCTTCTCATTAATAGAAATTGTCTATAATTATTTATGGTTTTTAAATGACCAAACTATCCATAAATTATCAATCAACCTTATTAAATAGTTTTATGACAAGATTGCCTGACTACTACGAGCCTGGGTTCATGTTAGGGGTAATATTGTTATGAAAAATATTTAATAAGCTTATTGGCCATTCAAGGGGCCATTTAAGGGTAATTTAGTTATGTAAAATATTCAAATGCGTATGTGGACAATTTCTGTTAATAATCAATATGAATTTTAGATAATATCTCTTTATTTATTTATTTATTTATTTATATGCACAGTTTAAAGGATGAACCGATGGATATCACTATTAAATCATGTAGAACAGTAGAAGCAACGATACAAGTTAAGTTAGTTGGGGTATGCTCCCAACAAACCTGTTCCAACATCATCTAACACTCCACATCTCAGTCTCATGGTAACATGTGCAGTGTCAGATCATATAGGAAATGTGTTGGAAGAATTTGAATCAAAACAGTCCTTGGAAATATCTCTTAATGAATAAAAATATATAGGTATGGAGATGTTTCCAATGCATAGCTACAAAAAGGCAGAGAGTACACTGTGAGCACTCAATCCAAATTCATGTTGGAATGGGTTTGTTGGGAGCAACTCTGGGCTCCAAGAAGAAAGGTGCATTTTTGCTTTCTCCATCCGTAAGTCAAACTATGGAAGAACTGCTTCACTTGGTCTTTGTATTGTTTTCTTTTTGTTTTCACTTTTCACAAATTTCAGTGGGCAATGGGCTGCTCAACAATCAACATTACTTCCTAGATCTCCTAAAACTTGTTCCTCCTTTTTCCTTATTGTTGTCTGATCCCATGTGTCTCAAATCAATGATAAAATCAAATAGTCTTACCAACTGGATGAGACTGATGTAGAAGGACGAAGGCATGAACCAAGATGATCTGCAAGCATAAGGAGAATCAGAGGCCTAAGGAGTTGTTCCCTAAGTAGTGATTTCGACGCTTAAAACAGTTAGAAAGACCAAAAATTGGTCAGAATGACCTGAAGAGAATAGGCTTGTCCGAACCGAGGTGAATGCAATGAGTGCTAAAGTAAAGTCAAGAGTGAAAAGTCATTTACCTTGAGGGGGAGATGCCTATATATAACCAAGCATCTGTGTTATAGTCGAATTAGATCTATAAGGTTATCGGGATGAGGTCACTTGCCAAAGTACTCGAAAGGTTCTCCTTTCCTCAATAGAGTGGTTTTCTTTGTTCGCGTGCAACTCTCTCCTTGGTGCACCCTTTTGTGATGCGGCCATGGTGGATGGTGCTGACATAGTCCGAGGGGATCGGCCACAGGGATCGACATGTGGTGACCTAGACCATCTCAGGCACCACCCAAACAGTCCTCTCTCTTTCTCTCTCTCTCTAATCAAAACTTTTCTCTTTCTTGTTTGTTATTTCTTTTGAAGGAATCGGTTTTACAGTGGTAAAAATTAAATATTTTCATCAGGGTCAAATGGAATTAGGATGAACCCATGTTCGATGTAATTGTATTTGTACACGGATCAATTCTGATGATATCGTTTAAATTCAAATTCGGTCAATTGGATGCCATTTGCATTTTGCAGTCCTACAAATTTCTGTATTTGTTAACACAATAACACTGCTCAGAAGGGAAGTTCAAATCGTCTACAGTCCTAAAGTTCTGACGCTGGTGGAGCATTGGAGCCAACCAGACTTCACTTCAGCCATGCAACTTGCAAGGGGAGGGAGGGATTAGTTCGGGTTAGGGATGAGATTTGGAAGTTGGAACCCACCACAATATTGCCGTAATAAGAGAAAGGGTAAAATATAAAACCTCCCTATGATTTGATTTTAACAGAATTCTCCCCTATAGTTTTGAAAAAAATTATAAATACCTCCCTTCCATTAAAGTTCCGTTAACTTAGAAGAAGAATTTACTAAAATACCCTTAAATACTACCAAGTATCATCCTCCTCTTTATGAGATGTATACTTCTACATCAAGTTCAACAAGAACAGAGCAAGGTTCTCTTTGAAACAAAAACATCTCCACAAATTCACTGGCAACATTCTCGTAGGTTTCAGCAAGATTTCAACAGGCAGTTGATATTCTTAATTTAGATTCCATATTTGATTTCTCTAGTTTGTCAAGATTTTTACTCTTGGGGATCAATCCGTGTGGAAGGCAATGTCTTTGACTTTGTTGATGTTAAATTTAATAAAACAATTTAAGTAAGATTGAGAGAAATAGGTTGGTGCTTAATACTTAATAGAACTTTGAATTTTTTTTTTTCTGTTTTATGATTTGAGATCATGTTAGGAACTTCTTTGAACACTTGGAGTACTGTCACGCACATCATATGAACACATTATAAAGATGAATTCAGTACGATTGAAGCATTTTGGGTAGATTAAATAGTTCTGAAAACTGGCTGTTAAATTATTTAAATATTAAAAGGAATCGCTTAGAACCATTTAACATCCATCTCTACTAAGTCTCAAGACTGTGGTTCCTATTTGCCTATCACCTGAAAAAAAAAAACAGAAAATGAAAAGAAAAAAAATAGGAAAGAAATAGAATGAAGAAGAAAGAGAGAAAAGAAGAATAAAAGAGACAGAAAATTAAGAAAATGTGAAAAATAAATAAAATAGAGCAAAAGGATAAAAAAAATGAGTGACGATTGATTAGCTTAATTGAGACAGAAAAGTGGAAAAAACAGGGGTAGGAGATTGGTTTGCTTGGGTTACCACTTTAAGGGTAAATGTGGTATTTTAAGAAAATTAATGTATTACATTAGGGTTTTTGGCCAGAAAAACTAATAAGAGGGAGGTATATGTATCATTTTTCAAAACTATAAGGGATGATTCTGATCATATCAAAACACAGAAAACATGCATTGACCAAAATACCCTCTAACAGAATAACAACCCTCGCGGGCTCCATCCGTCGGTAGCGGCAGTCACATAACGTTTACTTCCCCGCCCTGAAGGCTGAAGCTGAAGGAAGACTCGTGTTTGTTAATCCGTCACTTCTGCTCTTTTGGATTTTGGCCGGGAGTGGGACTGTGGGACAGTAGGACGGGTACGGCACGAACAGATACATACTGTTCACGTGATTATTTGACACATGGCAATCCTGTTATGTTATCTCTACACGTGTCTGTTGTCACACGTATCGGCCCACAAGATCCCCCTCCAACCAGAGCCGTTGACTATAGTGCCGTCTTGGTCCACACTCGTGAGGCTGTCCTTAACCTGCGCCAACCATGTCTCGCTACCCGACGCTACTTTCTCTATGCTAACTTAAACCACACTGCCAAGTCAACCCCCTCCCCCTTCGTCCTATTCTAGGTGGGCCATTCCCCCACAAGTCAACCCCACGTAAAGACAAACCGTCTCTAGCCATCAAAACTGGGCCCCCATTTATTAAGAGGGACTTGAATGGACTGGACACTTGAGTCTCCAGGTCCACATATCACTACACAAATACAACACGCTTCAACTATTTCATATATTGAATAATAATGTAATGTTTTTATATTCTTCGATTTTCTGTTATCGGTTGAGTTTGATACAGTAGACGAGTTGGGATCGAATCCCACCTTCACCGGGGTTTTGGAGAGGTCTAGCCTCGTTGACTCTTTTTAAGTAGGTTGAGTTGAGAATGTGAGATGAGATGGGGCCATATGTCATGTGATTTTGGTCCACCTTTAACATCCAAAAAAAGCACAAAGACAGAGAAGGATAAATGTGTATGAGTGCTTGAATATTATTGTAAAAGTAAATCTGTATGTTTCCAACACTTATGAGTCCATACAGTACAACACTATGTACAAATCTGTAATAAATTCCCATTTCTCTTTTGCTAGCAACTCTTCCTTTATAATTATAGAGAGGTAAACACGTAACCAATCACCACCTCCTCTCAATCTCTTCTCCACAATCATCATCGTCGTCATCATCATCATCATCTTCTTCTTCTTCTTAAAGTTGTTGAATTGTCTCTTGATGGAAAGATTAGAGCATCTGGGTGTTAATTTGTCAGATGGATTGGAGGAGGAGCTTGTCCGGGAGCTTCTTTATGATAACGAATCTCCTTTCTTTATACTGCCTGAAAAAATTGAACCCAAACCATGCATATCGCCAGAGCCCATAAGAAACCAGCTCATCTCCAACGTCTACTCTGGGCCGACGATTGAAGATATCGAGGGTGCACTGTCCTCAACGGATCGGAACAGTGAATCTGACTACCACCGTAGCATGTCACAAGCCAGGTATTTTCTGGGTTTCCTTGCAGTTCTTTGGTTATTGTTTTTTCTTGAGATTCGGGTCGACAGGATCGGTTTCATTTGCCTGCTTGGACTTTGTGCTCTCTGCAGAATCTCAATATTGGAGAAGGGGTTGAGTAAGATTGAGAATAAGTACACTCTGAGAATTAAGAGCTGTGCAAATGGATTGGCGGATGACGGCTATAAGTGGAGGAAGTATGGGCAGAAATCCATCAAGAACAACCCAAATCCCAGGTAATTATATAAATTCGTAAAATCATGAAGATGATTGCATTTCTGCTCTTTGTGGTTTCTGCTGCTTTCAGTAGGAGGTGACAGGTGAGCTCTTCCTCTGGACAAAAAGAGGATATTCTCTTCCGTCACGGGAGCTTTTCCTTGTTTTAATCTCAAGCTTTTTGAAAATTATCAGAGCACGAGTCCTTATAAAAGCATTTTGAAATTACACGAAACTTCCTTTTCTAGATTTTTTTCTTCTTGAGGTCTACATTCCTCTTCTTTTATTTATTCTGTACATGGTTTTGAATCCTGTTCATGGGCAGAACATTTTCAATCTGCAAAATTCCAGTTATGTTTCCCTCACTTTCACGGCAAAAACTTCGTCTTAAACCTCTTTTACATGAAAAGAAAAAAGAGGGGAAAACAGCGGTTTGTACGTGCTAAAAGTATAAAACCGAGGTAATTACAGAGGATGTTAATGGTGGTTTTCTTCCTTTGAATCTTCCAAAATTCAGAGTATTCAAATATCGCAACAACCGCTGGAAGTTCTGGATAATTTTTGCATTTGGAAATTAGTTATCCTTCTAGATGCGACGTTAATGAAATTAGAGAAAGAGGCTAAGGATTATTTAGCAATAACGATCCTTAAATAGAAACATTCATTGGCAAAGTTGAAAGTAACGTAGGATGAGCAGCCTGAAATTTCTGGTGAAATGAAGTGACCCAAACCACTCCAGTTGGAGACATTTAATTCCGTTCCTCTATTCTCAACCACTCCCTTATCTCACTCATTCCTTATGCCCTTATTATGGATACTGTTATAGTGTTATTAGTCTTTATTATGAAATCTGAACTTTTGCTGTCCAAACTTCTCTCCTTGGGCCTCTCCCCATTGACTTGATCCAATTTTTTATTTTAGCTGGAACACATCAACATGAGTTGAGCTTAATTGGATTGGGACCTCCTGATACATATTTACATATACCTTTGTACAAAAAGCAAGAGCAAGCAATTGGTTCATCCTGATTTCTCAACCACAATTATGACAATTTTGTTTATCCAAATCAATGGTTTCATTTCTACTTTTAATTCGTTATTGTCACATTACATAGTAAAATTAATTATTGGTTTTTGTTTGTATTTGATGGAGAGCAGGAGTTACTATAGGTGCACAAACCCCAGGTGCAGTGCAAAGAAGCAGGTGGAGAGGTCAAGCGAAGACCCAGACACACTTGTGATAACCTATGAAGGCCTCCATCTCCATTTTGCCTACTCACATTTCCTCCCAACCCCATCTTACCAGGCTTACCAACCTGTGAAAAAGCCCAAAAAGGACACACCACAGATCCAGGCCCATCCAATCCAACAAAGCCATGATGTTCTAGCCCAGGAAAGCTCACCAACTGTGTATCCTGCCCCTCCAAGCCCATTTGGTTGTGAGGTTCAGCAAGAATTGGTAGAAGGAGATGTGAGCCGACAAGGGTTGCTCGAAGATATGGTGCCATTGAAGATCAGGAATCCATGGAACAATAATAATGTCCTTTCGAGTTCTTGTAACTTACCTTCTTCACCTTCTTCTTCCTCTTCCACACTTTCTTGGTCTCCCAACTATCCTTCTTTTATTGATGTTGGCATTATTTCTAGTATGATGTGAGATGCATAAATACCCCCCCCCC